ACAGAGAACATTCTCAGCCATCCTCCAGGAGCAGGGCTTTGTGTCTCACCTGCTCTGACAACCTGAAGGCCACCTTCTGTCTTTCAGGGGATCTTCATCACTTCCTACTAACACAAAACCAAGGCCACACTAAAAACTGCTTGGCATCCCACCTGCCTTAAAGCATTTCTCTCATTTGACCCACATGCTTGCCACACCTTGGCACTGTGGCTGTCCTCAAACTACCCATCTGCCACACTGCTCAGAAAGAGCCACTCCACAGCTGGTATTCAGCTCAGAACTGTGTCCTGCTGCCCCCAAACCTTGTGTACTGTCAGAATGCAGGGGAGAAGTGCATTTGAGAGCCACTAAGTGAGAGATGCCACAAAGTTTTTGTGCAACTGCAGCTTGAGAGCTCAATGTGGGGGCAGAAATACTTTAAGCTGGCATCATCATCAAACAAGTTGGATCATGAAAGCAACCAAAGGGTGTAGTTTCATGGGATGTAAGCTTGGACAGCAAAGCAGCTTAGAAGATCCCACCCTATCTGCTCATTTCAGTGATCCTGATCATAGCACAGCTTCACAAAAAGCTTTACTGTCACAACAAAAGGGATGGCAAATTATGACACGGGGAGAAAGAAGCTGGCTTCACTGCTGAAGCCAAGTCTTGTGAAACTACACCCTAAATATTTGCTGTGGAAAGAACAGCCTGCTCAGTAACACTTGCCAAAGGTTTCCCAAACACCTGCTCCAAAACTTCCAAACTCAGACCCAGCAAATACTCCAATATACAGACTCTAACAAGTGTTACATTGGGCCGATACAGTCACCAAATAATCTCAGACTGGAAGACCAGACACAGTACCAAGTAAAGAAATAAAATTTAGGCTGTTATCAGTTTCAATAAAATGTCTTTGAACACAGAGAAGTATTCATATGCTCCTTAGTTCTTGAGTTAGCTAAACTTAAGGTGGTCAAAAACAAAACAACACGAATTAACCCTCTAATCCAGGAGAACAGACCAGCATTACCACCAATATATATATGAATCTATCTCCTTTTTTTTTGTATCCTGTATTTTTTGGGTTCGTATTTGTTTACTACAGATTGGCAGTCAGCATGCATTTTCAGGCTTCAGACTGGAGAAGGAAGCCTAAGAGGTGCATTAAAAAATATTAAAGAAAAAATCACTTATTCAAAATGAAGGTGTGACAGCTGGAAAGAAGGAGCCAAGAACACTTTCTGCTAGCATTTTGTGAAGAGAAGGCTGCAGAACAAGTTTCTCTTTAAAAAGTTGTAACCGGTTTATCAGGTTAGAGGAATTCAGTGGTTCTTCAACCTCTTCCCCCATTTCTTTCCCAACGCTCACCTAACCAGCTTGTTTCTTGCAGAATTTCTTGATACCTCAGAAAATAAACTGTTCCAGCAGCTCAGGTGAACTATCAATAAGCATTCAAACAGGCTTTAGAGAACTAGTACCTTGTTATCACCTGATGAAGTGACAGTCTCTCACTATTTTTACTTTATGCAAAGTTTAGCGAAGAGGGGCAAAATGAATAGGTTGGTCATTCTATGTTTAAGAACCCAAATCAAATGCATCGCTAACATATTGCACCCAACACAGTGTGATGAAAGATCAGCAAGTCTAGGAGAGTCATGCAGACAAATTCTTCATGCTGAAATGTCACTCCACAAATGAAATTTGGATGCTTTCATCGGGCCCAAAGCAGATCCAGCTCTCATGAGAAACTCTCTTTTCATGTATATCGTTCAAAGTAAGAAGGTAATTACAGCTAAATACTGCAGTCAGATCTTCAAAATTGCTAGCTCTTCTGAGACTGTATCCTTTGTCAGGGTGACATGCAAATAACATCTTGCAAAAGGAAAGTAATATGTCTTAAGGCAAATCATGCTGATTCAGCCAGGTTTTCTGCATGGGAAGGATTAAGAAATCCACAACACTTTCAACTTCGTATTCGATCTTTAACTTAAGAATCCCCATGGCTATAATAAGAGAAGCATTTGAAGATGTCAGCTTTTTTAATGACAGAATCATGGGGATGAGAGAAAGGCGAAGTTCACTCTGGTTTTGCTCCTTTAAAGCAAGCTTCCAACCCTGTGAGGTTTCAGAGAGCAACTTGGAAACATTTCTTCCCCTAAAGTCTTTGAAACTGGGAAACCATAAGGTTCCAGCAGTTATTCAGAAAACTCCAAGTCACATCCTAAATAAGCCAGCACTATGATTTGAGATCTGACTGAAGTACTGTAGGTAACATGTGCTAAGAGGTTTACATCACAGGTTCAAGACAGTTCCAGATACACACTTGAACGTGAGATTTCCTACTTTGTTTAAAAAAAAAATCCTCACTTTTTTTTCCTACCCAGTAGCATTCTTCACTTACAACAACACATTTCAGTCAGCAGTTATATGTTCACCATTTGTGGCTCAAAAACAGAGCCAAGTTACAACTTCCACTTTGAACTAAATACATCAAGCAGACTGCTTCCAAGGTGAAACTACTACCCTAATATTTGTACGTTATGAGGATTCCCTCTTCTCCAACCAAAACAGCTACCTAAACCTTGCACATCACCTGCCAGAACATACAGCTGGATCCCACAAATGCACTAGCACGTGTGGAATCAAACATTTGTGAGTCTGGACAAAAACAATATTTAAAACCTTGCAAAACGTATACACATAGTGCAATATAAATGTTGTTTATTTAGGGGGCACTATGATTCAGAATGTCCCTCTGTGAAATTGCACAGCAAAAATATATCGAGGAAAACACCTATTCCAGAATACTGAAGACAAATCCAAGTAACAAGTTGTGTAAGATGCAACACTGCGAGAATATGAAATACAACTGAAATGATGCAACATTTGTGGAAGTGCTTTGCTGGGGAGTACAGACTTAACCACAGACCGTAGGCTATTGGTAGGCTCTATCATTCCTGGAAAGTGAACTAAAAATTAACAGGTCTTCCAGAGACAGTGGAAAAAGTCCAGGCCCACAGACGTTCATCTACTGTTTATCATTTATGACTTGCTAAATCAGAATCAAAGAGTGGTGGAGGTTGGAAGATATCTCTGAAGTGCAGACAGAAGTTACAATGGCTTTATGCTTGGAGAGTCTCACTTCCCTCTACATGCAGAGGCTGAGAACCCAAGGAAAAAGCCAGAAGCAGGCACTGAAACGTTTATTTGTAAGGCTGAGTGTTCAGGTGAGCAATTTGCAGCTGCATCATCAGATTCTCTACCACAACCCAAGCAGGGTGTGGAAAGCTAATTTCACATACTCTATAACATTATCTCAAATCAAGGTACAAGCTTACTTCCTTTTCCTCCTCCTTTTCAAATAATCACTTCACCTACTTGTGCTTTTGCTAATTAAAATACTTAAACGAGGGCAAAAAAATCTACACGTACGTATAAACACCTAAAACATCCTTAAAATACACAATGCAGTTAAATCATTTAATGGACTTAAAAAAAAATGCAGAAAAGGATTTTCTGTTAAAAAATACGTAATTCTACCTTTTGCTACAATTGCAGGTGAAAGGATGAACTAATTCTCCACAAACTCCCACAGAGATAGGAAGCACAGAGTGGCAGGGACACAAGCAGAGGTGAAGAGTGTTCTAGGAGACCCAAGACAGAACCAGCTGCATCACAACTGATATGCAACAGTTACCAGCAAAATCACTAGTTGCACAGATATGTCCAACAAAAGGGATAAAACTGTTGTTTTTTAAGAGTCCCCACCACACCTACACGCAAAGCTAGTATTTCCTTTTATTTGCTAACGCAGACCCACCTACACTGCAATTTACAGCAATAAGATACAATCTCTCATAAAGTATTGAGTATAATTAAAGTGTGTCTGTTATAAAGGTAAACAGAGTGTACTAGGCTAAGTTGTTCCAGATGTCTTTAGTGCAAGATCTGGGACAAGACCAAACCTGCAGCTGTGCATTTTCTCAGGAGTTATTTTGAAGCTTAAAAAAAAAAATTTTTTTAATCACCTCTTGGTCTTAGAATCCAGCAAAACGTGTAATGGATGGCATTCAGGGCTGATGTCAAGAAATTCTAAGACGCACTGCAGTTACATATTTCTGTTTTTAAAGATACCCACTCCAGAGTGAAATGTTAGCCATTCCATATCAAAGAGTTAGGAGTCGGTCTGCCAAGCTATCTCTGTGTCACCAGAACTTACAGCAACACGAACCTGTTCTACTGCCTAAGCAAGTTTCTTGCTGAAACACACCTACAAGTGACTCAGACAAGGTGTGGAAACCCAGTCTTATATGTTCCACAAAAATGCACTATTGTATTTTTCCACTCGAGCACATTTTGTATGTATAAAAGGGAAAGAAAGTAAACTTTCAGGGACTGAATAAGTACGCAGTATTCATATTAACAGTTTTTAGGTAATTTATGGCCTGTAGAAGTGAAAGGATCACACAAAATCACAGATCAGTGTGATGTAAGTCAGAGTAAAATACAGAAACTGAAGAAACGATCAATCACTAATTAAGCTCATCAGGAAGATTGATATAGAACAAAAAGCTGCCGTTTTATGTAAGAAATTTTTTTAAAAACTCATCCAGTTTTAAGAATAACAATTGAAAGAAGATTCACATTATAGCAATAAACCTGTAGATTAAAACATGCCACCTGCATTTCAAAAGTTTAAGCAGGACTGCTGTTATCATTCTACTTAAAAAAAAAAAAAAAGTCGTGGACAAGAGAAATTTGGAACACAAGTGTTCCTATCAAAATAATCAGAAGCCAGAGCTTCTGAGAATCAGCTGGCATTGAACACAACTCTTTCAGAATTCCAGGGCTCCCGATTCATCTGTTTCAGGTCTTGTTTAGGTTAGCTTTATCACAAACAACAACTTGCTAATGACTTCAAAGTGAAAGATAGTTAAAGCATTTCTTTTACCAAATAGTTGGGTGTTGTCCCCAGATTTCACCCTGAAGAGCCCCTGTTCCAAAGAGCAGCATCTCACCTGTTGAAGAACCCGGTCCAGAGGCTCAGCTTTGCCCAGTCCCTCTGGTGTTAAACCACTCACTTCACGACATTGGTCACTTAACTCCAAATTGTCTGCTTTCACCAGGGATTTGTGTAGCGTCCCTACCTAAAAACATTTAAGAAACAAGGGACAAAAGTGAGGAACAAACGAACGAGCTCTTGGTAACAATGCTTTCAGACTGCAGAAAAATCAGAAAGGTGCAGTATCTCTGCCCCGGTAACGATCACAATGAGAAAAAGCATTTGTCGATTTCACAAATCGAAACCTTTCGCCTGGGTTTCTTCCCCTCCCACCCGGGAGAGCCACGCTGTCTGCTCCGGGCACCAGAGCTGGCCTTCATGGCACGCCGCTCACACTCAGGGCTCATTTTAGAGGGAGTTGCTCAACGTTAAGGGGAAAATCACCTAGTGTTAAGGCAGCTTCCCAAATCTCTTCACAAAATGGATCGTTTTATCACAGCAAACGCGTTCATTTTGTCAAAGCCCTTTATCTCTAGGGGTTCTTATTCATATAGAGCTTTTTTTTTTTTTTTTAGGGGGGGGGACGACTGGAACACGTTCTCAGATTAGCATAAAAATTAAAGGAATTTAAGGTTCTCGTAAGCGTTAGCCAAACGTTGGTTAAAAAGCAACAAAAGCCTCCCGCTGCAGGCCGCCCCGGGCCCGACGGTTACGCCGAGAGCCGCCGGGGCAGCGTGCGCGTCCGAGCCGCAGCCAGCAGCCAGCTTTGTGCGGTAAGGCTGCAGCAGGCGTCCCCGAAGTGGGAACCACCGACGGGTCGGCAAGGACGGGGCGGGGGGCGGTGGGAAGCGGCCTAGCTTTCCTTGAAATCGTTACCTCTTCCCTTCGAACGGGAACAAAACCGACAGGGACGGAAGGGCTTTGTGAAGGAGTAACGCGGTGAGCGGAGGGCCGGGCTGCCCTCCCCGGGGTGCATTTGTGAAATGAACAAACGGCAGCCGCCCGCAACGCGCCCTCGCCGGGTGTCGAAGCCATACCTTCTTGCTGGGGAGATCCACAACTTGCCACACCAAGAGAATTAGTTCCCTCTCATCCGAACCCAGTTTAGCCCCATATGCACCAGCTGTTGCCCCAAACAACACCACCAAAGAGTCACTGTGCGAAGCCGTCATGACCACAGGGGGAAACAACTACAATCAAAAGCAGAGGTCAAAAAAAGAGAAAAAAAAGTAAAAGAAAGACACGCAAACGGACAAAAAAAGGAACAACAAAATCCCGCAAAGGTTCACCCCCTACCTCCAAGTGATCGAAAGGGAAAGGAGAGATGAAGAGTCACGGTATTAAGAGGAGAGAAAGAGCTGTTCAGAAGTCAGGTCTTCGGAGACCAAAAAAAAGGAAAACGGAGAAAACTCGCATCTCTACCTGTTCCCGGTGATCTCCTTCTTCCCGGGGCCGATTGGGAGGTGAAATTAGCAAGCTGTGGGTTTCTTTCCCTCTGACATCATGGCAGAAGCCCAGCCTGAGCCTGTTTTTTTTTTTTTTTTTTTTTTAACCCCCCCCTTCGCCTCTCCTGAGTTACCTGCCCTCGGTGCGGCTCATGTGACTCTAGTCAATCTCCCAGAGGGACAAGGCCATTGGGTCTTTGGGAAAGGTGTAGGAGGGACAGAGGGAGAATCAACGCCTGGCTGATCTGGCCTGATTGGTTTTTGAGGGAGATCAGAGGAAAACTCCCTTCTGCGGTGCTGCCTGCAGGAAGTGTCTCTACCTGCTTTCAGTTCTGTGCGATCCCGGCGAGCACGCCCGGGGGCTTCAGTGGGGGCCGAACGCTTCCCCCGGCCCTCTCCTCCTCCTCTTTTTCTGATTTTCAAATCTGAAAAGTATGCACGTGTACTTCCTAAAGCACAACGCGTGTCTTAGCTTTGAAATCCTCAAAACGAAAAAATCGTCACCTGCTTCTAATTAATTGCACTCGCGGACGTTGCTGTGTCCGAATTGAGCTATCAGTGCCAGGCTTCACTTGTAACAAAAGGTGTGATTTAGCACAGGGTTTCGTTAGTGCATATCGCTGGCAGAAAGCACTTTGCATTTTAGGCCCTGTCCTGTATGAGGCTTCAAAGCTGAATCCTATTGGTTTTGAGAAAGTGTATCTAGGATGATACACAAAACAGAAAGTCCTGTGCAGACAATGGCTGGATAAAGGGCTATTTCCTTGGCATTAATTACAGTTCAAGATGAGCAGTTTTTCCTCTATAGCTCTTTTCTGTTTCACAGGTGAGACTCTGCAATGGTAAAACACCATCTGGTTTAGCTACCATAGAAATGCTGCTCTAGGCATTTCTGCTGGGTGGCAGCAGTAGGAGAATCTGTAATGTTAGGGACCATAAACATTTTTAGAGACACTGTCAAACAGAAATAACCAAAAAGCCCCTAAAATGCTCTGATTATGCTACTGATTTTACTATTACCAGCACTAATGAATTTTTAGAGGACAAATATTGCAAGCTATACATTTTTTTATTTATTTGTTTAAATAGATTTTTAGTCTGTAATTCAATATCAGTGTTGGGTTGAAATATACTTCTTGGTGAACAAAGAACAGTGCTGCTGCTAAACCACTCCTAACACAGGGAAAATGCAGAGCTGGACATTTAACTATCCAATGGATTTAAATATTAACATCTCATTTTCTTCCCTTCTTTTAATATATTAGTTTTATAACTGGTTAGTTTCTTATGCTGCTTTAAAGTCTTATGTAGTTATGGACCCAGCTTGGCAGACACCAACTCACATGCTAAAAGCATCACTATTTACATTTATTTTAGTGAAAGTAAACTGCAGTACAAGGATACCATCTTAGAATTCAAACTTACAAGTATTTACCTGGTGGAGACCACGAGGAGAACTTCACAGCACACAGGTGCAGCTCAGTGAACTTTATTTACAAGGTAGTTGTTAAATGCCTCTCAGCTGTTGTCTCTGCTGCTCACGTGCAGCTGAAAAGCAGTCCTGATGATATATCATTGCTGTAAGAGGGGCACATTCCCAAAGACATGGAGGTGAAAACTTTAATCTGTAACATACTTAGACTTACATAATAAGAATATATTCAGCAGTGTATTTTCTGGCACTGCTGAATTCACACAACAGCTATATTTTCCTCCATCAGTGCCTGTCTAGAAGAGCCATACTCCTCCTGGTTGGATATATTGGTAATGAAGCAGCTTAACAGCCCGTTACTTGTGTGTGGGATGATTCTTATCCCTTTATAAGCACTATAAAAATACTTTCATTTCAAGTGTTCTTATCCCAACCTATTGCTCCCATTCCAAATGCAGGTATACCACAGAGGTGTCTGGGGGAAGGTAGCATCTGTACATATGAATGAAAACATGGATTTTAGCTGTTCACAGAAAAAAAAGTGCTGCATTTAGCCACAAGTCTGGCACAATTTAGCTACCTTTATGAGGGTGCCATTTCAAAGCCTTAACATGTAACTACTTCATACAAAATGATAATTATTGGATTTGTATGGAAGACTATACACTTCATACATTCTTAGACAGCTTGACATTTATGCTTACAGGCATCCGTGAACTGGCATAAAGAATGCCAGCATCTCTGCATCTGTCTTGTAGGATCTAACATGAAAAAAAAAAAAAAAAAAATATAAAAAATGAATTTACTTGAGCAACATGTCATGTTAAGGAAACCCTATTCACACCAATGCCAAAAACCTTGATACATTTGCAAGTTTGGCAATTGTCTTCCCGTTCTTCTCTACGCATAGCTCAGCCACATCATTGATTTAAAAAATGCAGAGGAATGACATCACATGTCTTCAGAGAACAGCAACAGGATCCACTTCCTGAAAACCATGTGGTATAAGCACTGTACACTGAGCATGCAAAGTTAATTTGTAACTGAGATCCTGTTGAAATAAAGAGTTTATGGCTCACCTTTAGCTTTAATCCTGGCAGTCATGTTTATAGACGTTCTTGTTTGTAGGCTCCATACAAGGATAATGTCTTGGATGGAGAATAAAAGTTTTAAAGATAAAGATTCATTGTTATCCAAGTTTAGCATTGTAGGGTTTGTTTTTTTTCATTTATTTTTTATAATAAAGCAAAACTGGAAAATAAAACTGTCTTAGATTACATGAGAAAATTGAAGAAGCTCATTTAATACATTGTGCTTGAAATGGATAAATCTGCAACAATTTCATTCTTACTACTCTTACATTCTCCTCCCTCAGTTCCATAAATAGAAACAATTCAAAACAAAAACAAGGCTCTCTTTTACTACAATATTATTAAAAACACCACTGACTGAATGTTCTGACCACAGAAGTCTTTTTGAGATAGCCAAATAAAAAGAGGATGAAACTTAGAGACATGAGATACGGAGTGATATCCTTGCTACGTTCAGATCTACCGCAAAACTTAGGTTATCTGAATTTCAGAGTAGCTAAAAGTCAGTCCTCTGTTCCAAACCTGTATATCAAAAAGTTATTTGTCTTCCTTCCTTCCTTCCTTCCTTCCTTCCTTCCTTCCTTCCTTCCATCCATCCATCCATCCATCCATCCATCCATCCATCAGATAAAAGGAAGACAATGATTATGAATCTTGTAAAATAGCTTGAAATGCCTTGAGAAATGCAAATTAACTATGAAGTCAGGCCTAACTTCAAAATTGGTCATGCTGAGACTGTGGACAAAATGACCTCCAAAGGTCTCTTCTAGACATCATTTTGTTACTGAGAAACCAAGAAGCTAAGTTAAATACGTATGGACCCTTGTTTATTTGCACAACAGTAACAGAATTTTTTCTGTGTGCCTCAGCCTCTCCGAAATGAATTGACAGGGGAAATGTCATCTATAAGCAAACATGAAAAGACATTCAGGAGCCATTCAATTCTTAACTCTTAGATTTTAAGCAACTGTGGCAACATTTTCTGAAGGAGGAGCTTACTGTAATTCTTGAAACATAAACCTGTATGTTAACAATTTTTTGGCATCCTTTCTTTAACAGCAAATGAGTGGGAAAGGGCATGGGAAGAACTGCTTTGCAGTGTTCTTTGATTGCTGTCCAGATGTTTTGAGAGATCTGTTTTTTTTGGTCTGCCAGGTAGGTCTGTAATGATTATAAATGTAGTGTAGAGGCCTCAAAATAATTCCCATTGGGATAATCATAAAAGCTTGGTAATATGCAAAAATATGTCAGGAAGGTGGTTTCTGATGGATTGGTACCCTGCAGATATTAGCCTCACCAAGCCATACTGAAAGCACTCACAATCCTGCACCAGCTGGAATTTAATTTCTTTTTGATTCAATCTAAAATGTAAAACTGATGACTAGGCTACATAAATAAAAATGAAATTGCTTTCTCTATCATTTTATGTAGTTTCTCTCCTTTATGGGCTGACAATCAATCTGGTGTCCCAATCCTACAAAAGTTGTATTCATACTCAGCTCCCACATAATTCCAATGAACTGTATATTGTTTAGTTGAGTTTCTGCAGATTACAGGCTTTGGAAGATTGAAGTTCTGTTTTTCTATGAAATTTATGGATGGACCAAATGTACACGCATGGTACTGTCCTTCACTAATATTATCATAAACTTATACTAAGGTTACCAGTTTAAACAATTACACAGTAAATTTAGATTTTTGTCTCATTAGAAATCATGTTTCTCTTCAAATAAATCTTAAAACAGTTTTCTGGAATTAGAATCATTGAAATATTAGCAGGTAGGGATCTCTGGAAGTCCTCCTGTCCAACACTGCGGTCAGAGCTGGACTATGCCAACACAGATTGAACCACCAGTGCTTTGTCTAGGTGAGTCTTGAAAACCTCCAAGGACAATGATTCCAAACCTCCAGGAATAACCTGCTCCAGCACTGCAACTATGTTGCTGATGAGAAACTTTTTCCTACTGGCCAATCTGATCTTTCAAATAATTCACTGAAACTAGTTGAGACAGGATCTTTAAGCTGTGGTAAATCAGACAAGCCATGTGATAGGACTTCTGTTACCTAATGAGATGAATATGCAAGTACTTCCTGAACCTTTCAATCTGCCTTGTGACTGAAAAAATCACTTTCTGTAAAGCTTTATTTCCCCTAAAGTCTGCCCAAATAAATTCTCATTGCAATCAGTAACATTTTTGATAGTCTCAGGTACAACATGAAAACGAAAAATTCAGCAGAAATTATTATTTCTTAGGCAAATTAATATTTTGTCTTAGATCAAGACACATACTGATAATACATCTGTATTTGGCCACTGAAAGTATGTTGCACTTTACATGTCTGTCAGTGCAAACAGCAGTAAAAAAAAAAAAGAAAAGGCTTTACGTAAGTTGTTACTTCTGCTATAATGCAAAAAAACCACCACCACCTTCCTTGCCACCAACACCACCACCACAATTCAGTGAAGAGAAGCACATATATTGATAACTCAAACTGCAATAGCTAAAAGCCAAATTATTGACTTTCATTCACTTCGACACCTTCACACTGTGGGTAGAGAAAGTTCTCAAATTCACTGAAACATGTAATCAGCCAAAGCTACCTGAAACATGGATTTTCAACTCCAAATAAAATACAATTCGACAACATACGAAATGTAAATGTTACCATCCACATCAGAAGATCATGCTATACACTACTCTCACATACTGAGAGTTGACAATCAATTCTGCAAGATAGCAGTGATGAAAGAATTCATCAGCAAGTGAATACAAAAGACTGTATACTGGAAGTTCAAATGGCTCAGTGAAAAACAACAGACCAAATTGCACAACTAATGATGACTTCATACAAGTTACACTTTCTCAGGCTTTACTGACAACTCGATACTGGCCTCATGAGAGTATCTTGGCAGAGAACAGTAATGTGTATAGCTTTGGCTTTTTATTTAATTGTACCACAAGCCCTCAGTTGACTTAAAACACCGATAAAAATGAGGGTGTGTTCCTATAATGTTTCATTCCCATTCGACTCAGCTGCTCTAATATTTGTTTCTTCATTATAATTTAATTAAACTTATTCCACATGAAGATATGCTAATGCACATCTTTTTCTCACCAAAGAATAAACAGAAGTAAAACATAAATGCAATACTTAAGCAAAACTTAGACAGCTGTTGAAGCACTTAGGCTTTAAGGATAATTCATTGATGAATTTTGTATAATATGCTGATGAATACAAGTATGTACATCCAAATGAGACACCATAGGCCACCCATCATCCAGTGGTTTCTTGATCTTTCATCTTCATTAGGATTATTTTCTTCCAATCAACTTCATTACCAATTACTACATGTTCAGGGAGTGACACAAGGATTTCAAACATGCTCTGCATCCTATCACATCCATTCTCAAGAATGAATCAATCTTTTCCAGAATCTTTCACAACTTTTCTATTTTGATTTTGACTGTCTTGTATTGAAAGTATATGGCCTTAGTCTTGTCTGACTAGTTATTAACAGACTGGCAGAATTAATATGCCATTTTACTTCTACTCTATCATTTAAAACTAAGTAAGACAACTACAGTTCGGGCAGGTATCCCATTTTCTTCTACAGTACCTCTAGATGCAACTGCTTGCATGGAAGACCCTAGTTAATACTGAATTGAATTGTATTATATATTTATGTAGATACAGTCATCAGATTCTCACTCAAATAAATGTCATTGCTTCTATTTAACAAATCATCTGTTCATTTTAACTTCTGAGTATGGATAAGCAAATACCATTGTTTCTTTGCCTTGATCACAAAATTTATTGTGCTGTGAAACAAATGATGGAAGTAAGATAGCAGTGTCCTTAGTAATATATCTAGTTGACATTAGAGTGATGTGAATTTCTGAGAAGAAACATTGTCAATTACACATATTGCAGTATGTAAATGTATTCAAGAATATATAGATACATACCATGCACACATACTAATATGTTTGTACTAAACACACATGTACTAAACATGTTATTCCCTTTGGTGTACTGTAGAAATTTTTAATTTAAGATGCCATCTGATGCAAGTCAGTCCATTTTATCACTTAATAAGCACAGAATTGCTTTATAAGCACAGATAATAAGTAAGCACATGGCATGCAGATGGAATGAGTTCTGCCCTTTCTCTTCCCAATTTGCTGGAGTTGTGATAAAATGCTCTGACAGAGCTGTTTTATAAGTGCCAATACTACCACACCTCCTTTCCACTGCCCTCTGTTAATGTGGCACACCCTTGTTTGACAGGAAATATCACCTTGTGTTCAGTCTTTCTTTGGTTTTCTCAAGTAACTATTTCAAGTGCAGTGTGACACAGTTACAATACATTAAGATTGTCTTTTTTACCCATAATTGTATGGTGGTAATGAAAAGGGAAAGACTCCTAGGGCACACAGAAGAGAAAATTGCCTGGCATAACCTGGGTGTGGCTATGCAGTGAGTAGAGTCAACATACTGATAATGCTCTAGGTGAAGTAGATGTCTGGGACATAACTTGGACTTACCATCATTCAGCTGCTGCTGCTAACACTGTGGGTAAAGCAGTTGCCTGGGACATTGACTTATGTTGACTTGCCATCATTCAACTGTTGGTTCCCACTGTCCAGTGATTTGCTTTATGTGGATGGGGAGACAGACAAGGCCAACCTCCATGTCCACAGTTTACGGGCTGCTTTTGGTCTCTCTCCTCTTTTTTTTTTTTTTTTAAAGATAGGTTAAATTGTTACATGCACTATAAAAAAACATACCTGCAATAAAGTAGTAGAAACAGGAGCTGGCTGGCCTGCCATAATATGTGACAAATTGTGCCCTAAAGCTGTGGGTTTTGTCATAAAAGATATTTGATATAAATACCAGTTTCAGGCATACCTTGTTCATCCAGCCTCATTTATTCATTCTAATCCTGCCTTTGCTGTCCTCTCTGATCTTTCGGATCTACTATTTGTGGGGCTGCACCCTGAATTGGCTTTGAAATACTGATCCTGATTTAGAAAGCTAGATACAATTCATTTAAAACTGGTTTTAACTGTTCTGTTCTGTTTGGAACACCACACAAACTCAGTTTGGATGCATATTCTGTAAGATGAATCCATTCCCCCATTTGGTTCAGAGGTTGGTCCCACACATAGTTATCCAATGGCAAAAAGAAGTGACTCTGTTGGGAATAGGAAAATATAGAGGGTACTAATGTATTAGAGTATCGTGAATCCACGGCCTTAAGGCACATGAAGTGTTTGTGTGGCCAGTAACTACTGAACACCTGCAGCTGTCACTAAAGGCAGACAGATTGGCTATCACTGTAACAGATGAGCCATGTTGGGTAGTATTTTACACCTACTTCGCACAGACATAAACTGTAAGACTCTGAAGACCAGATCTGGTGTCTTCAGATCTTTGGATTACTTTCTATGTGGGTAGGAATCCACGTCTGATGATGTATCTACAGTAGGAAGAAGCATGTTTTTGTGGTGTAGAATTTTGTCGAAGGCAATTCCATCTTTAAATTCTTGCCAGCAGATGAAAGTACTAGCAACCTGACTCACCTGAAAAATTGAAGCTTATGCTATTCATCTTTATTCCCTTGGAAGACAAACATGACAAAGTGCGCAGATTCTGTTTAGTATTAAGTGTTCTGCTCTGTACCTCTCACTTTCAGATGAGCCATTCTGTATAGGATGAGATTTTTAGTAAATGATACAAGGCTTTTCCATTAGGCACGTTTTTGCAACTATATAAATTTAACCTCTTTTTCCCATACCTTGCAAAAAAAAAAATAAAAAAATTAAAAACATTCCTTTGCATTAGCATTGAAAGTACTGAAAGACATAATGCATCCAACCCCTGTGAAGCTGCTGGATGCAGGGAAACAAGGTGCAGCTAAACCACCTACAATCAAAGATTTTATGCTTTAATCAAAGAGACAGCTTGCATTCTCAGCTTTTGATTTCCACAAAGCTTGTTTGTGTTACTTAAGGCTAGTTTACTACACCTGTGTTACCATGGAATTGCTAGGGAGCTAAGCCACACCTTTATGAACATACTTAGCACTTCCTGCACAGAATAGCCTTAAAAGCAGTCTCCTATATACCAAAGAGATAATAGGAAGAAAAAGAGCACAACTACATCTTAAGATCTTGGCTAGCTGGCACAACCATTGCATGTCACCTGTGTGGTCTCATAAAATAGTTCATGTAAGATTTTTGGGCAGTGTTTACTGAGAGATGTACTTTTTCAAATAAATTTATACCTATGATATTGTTAATATGTTTCCTACCCTTTCATCATCTGAATCCAGCTCTTCCACTGGTGACTGCTTTGTGACTGGAAGAAAACAAATGGTGGGTTCCTCTCAAATCCTTCTGGGGTAATACATATTCTATATTACAGTAATGGTAGACTGACAGGATGAGGGTTCCAACAGACAGGATGAGGGTTCATTATATGTAAACAATCCTCCTTCTCTCAGTGCTTTGTGGCAGTGTGGTATTACTGCTAGTTTACTTACATCTTCCTTTTCCTGGTTCACCTGCAATTTGAATTATATCAAAATATGTGTCAGTTTTGACTGATGCTTAGTATTTATATGAAGCTAAGGACTCTTTATTACATAGGAAAGACATAATTTTTAAAATACATATTTGGTACTACAAAAATCAAAGCACAAAACTTTCTGCTGAAACTTACACTGCCTAAAGTTGCCTAAAGCACACTGAACATTCATATTAGAAACCTCTCCGTACTGATGAGTCATTCCAGTTGTTTCGCAGATTCTTCCTTTAACCTTCCCTCTGACTGAGGATATAAAACTATCTTTCATTTTATTGACACTGCGTACTGCAAATAGGCCAGCAGTAGAGCCTGTGTAACAGTAAAGAAAAAAGAAAATTTCATATAAAAGACTGGGACTTCAGATTATTATTTCTTAGAGTTGTGGTAACATGCTACAGATGACAGTACCTGTGAATGCTTGGGTGGATGGTAATGATGACTTACACGGTAGTTACTAGCACAGCAGCAAGGTAGAATACATGAAAGCAATTGTATTCTGTAGGAACATGATCACTATCATCCAATTCATGGGCAAAAAAGTATTTCAAAATCACAAGGGTAAAGGAAACTACAGAAAATCAACAGCATTATCATGCAAAATTCCTTCATAATTTGTTAAACAGGAAAATATTTACAGACAACACCAGAAAATTAAAAACATTACACAGTTACTATGATTATCCTCTTGCTATTATTAGGATTAAACCTGCAGTATACATTACCATGATACAGGCTCAAATGTAATAGGAAAAGATTCATACTTGGAGTTACAATTTGGTTCCACAGGCCTAAAAGCAGTATAGATATACTGTGCATCTTGAAATTTTAATTGCTTCAAAGCAACATTATTCTCTACTCCCATACAGTCACAATGTACTACTGAGAAGTGGCAAAGAAGAGGTTGTGAACATACATACACTGAAACAAGACAAGTGAATATCAAGTAACAGCCAGTTTCATTTATTTGTGCAGTTTATCTGTAGCAGCAACCAAAGCCCCAGTATGCAAACAGCCCAGGCAATTGGGGGTGGAGGTATGTAGTCTACAGCCATGCAAAAAGTCATATGAAGCAATACTCTTTTATTAGCAGTCTTTCTCAAGACTGGGATGAAAGGGATTTACAAATCACTGTATCACAGTCATGGAGCAATTTCTTCATTGTTGTATGGTCAATATGCTGCATAAGGCAGAAAAGTGGTTTTTTTGTGTGTTCTCAAGTAGAATAGAAAACATCCCTTTCTTAGTAGAATCTTAATGGACTTGCGAAACAGATTAAGCAGGCAGGATTATATAGACTACAAAAAAGTTAAATCTGTTTCAGGAAAAAGGCTAATTAAGGCAACAGTTCTATAAGTCAGGCCCACGGGTTTCTAATTCTTGGCAACAAATGTTCATTGTCATGTGCTGTTATTAAATACCAGATTTACTTTCCATTGTTCATTTCTTTCCACAGTGCAATCAAGGCTAGATTAGAAGCTTGTCACATCCCAACAGCGGCATTTGCTTAGCTTTGGGCATGATGCTTATGCAAAGGATGTTTAGGAAAATGTTCTCAAACTTACAAAAACCTTAAAGCTGTGTCCCTGAGTGAGACAGTGAATTTTAAGAGTGTGCTTTTTATGTGCAGCTTAGGAATCTGTATCTTCTAGAGCTAAAAGAGAAAGAAAAAAAAAAAAAAAGACATACAAAGCTAACTTCAATTTCAAACATTTCAACATCAACCTTGAATTCTGGAGAAGGAAATACATAAAAGTTCAATTTTCTAATCTATTCCCTAGAGCAAAATACATTATTTCAATAACATAATGTTAACATTTACATTGCAAGCTGACCAAAGGCATAGAATCATAGAATCATAGGTTAGAAAAGACTTCTGAGATCATCAAGTGCAACCATCAACCCATCGCTATCATGCTCATACTACTATAGTGCTCATACACATGGAGCTTTGCTTAAATATTCTTTTTCATTCCTTACCTTTGTGCTCCCTCAGAGTCTGAGGGAAAGGCAAACACATGATCTGTCCCCTTTTAGCTTTTCTGGCTTCCTAAAAATCTTCCTTTGGTTATATTTTTTCTATACTTTCTCTCAAGCACCTGAAAATGCAGAATATAAACTCAGCATACAGCAACACAATGATTACAAGTCTGTGTATACCACAGTTTCCCACAGTAATAGTGAAAATAAAATGACAAGTATAAATTGAATACATATTTAATACACTGCTTAGGACACACAGTACAACCTGTCTCTCTCCTCCAATGAAGGAAAGTGACACTCTGTGAAACAATGTCTTAGGAGAATGAAATTCACACCTGCTACAGTGCCATTACACATTTAATATTTACATTTTGATTTGAACATGACTTTTCTACCAGCAGTATACATAGGAGTGTTCTTAGTTATGGTTTTTTTCCCCCCCATAATGTTTGCCTAGGAAACAAACACTCCTTCCATTCAGAATGCCCCTTCAGGAAATCTTTCCTCTTTTTCTATCAGCAGTACCATTACGGAATATTCAAGAACTGTTTAAGTTACATTACATTACATTGATTAGACCTAAATAGTACTATGTAGAATGGGTATATATATTTTCATTATCTTCCTTTTTCTATCATTTCTACTCCCCATTTGTGCATACATGCATACATGCCCAGCACTGTCACAGTCACAGTCAAGATGCCCCACTTTGCTATCCTTGATACAACAGCAGGGTGAATAGAAGAATTCCCTGTGAGGATCTGGGAGCTCAAGATGTCTGCTCCTACTAGTAAAGAGCCTGAATTGTATTTCAGTGACAACTGAAGAGGCGTTTGTCTCTGTCTCCTTTGGAGTGGGATGGAGATATGTTTCATTTAATTAGAAAAGTACAAAAGAATTCTATGGCAGGTTTTAGTTCAAAGCAGGATCATGACTGAATTTTTCCGAGGTTGTGCACAGATCCCAGATGTGATGCATTTCACACTCCTAAAAAAGACCTAAAATTTCTTACCATTGAACCAGTTTCTCAAGAAGTTTGAGTGATGTGACTGATGTCAGCTGTGATGGCAGCATTCTGCACATAGCTATTCTGATGTATTGGGGTTCATCTACTGCTTCCTGCTAAGCAAACTCAGTAGAAGTTGGCAGATAAAAGACTCCATTGTTTCACAATCTTCAGTAATGCAAGGGTGAATTTCTGTTGAAATGTAAAGCAACAAAGGATTCCATTATTTTTAAATACATTAGCTATATTATAGTTATTGGACACTGGATCCATCTGAGAATGGATCAGGAGAATTGCTCCTGCTGTACAGAATGCATTTTATTTTGCCACGGTAGGACATGCAATGAACACAGATATGAGGGTTATTCATAATACTTGAATTTCATTTGGAAGAATTCAAAATGGTATTTCCTTTGCCCTTTGCTAAGGAGCAGAATTATGCTAATGGAACTGTCTTTTAACCTCTACATGACTATATATTGGCTTAGGCAGAGCTATGCTCTAAAAAGCTGAAATTAGTGAATGAGACCTTTAAGGGGGCATAATATCATGATGCATTTGTGTTTCACCATGAAAATATGAACATCTTAAAAGAAATGCACTGGAAGATGGTGGTGGCATCGTACCTACAGCAGTGCTCTGCAGTTACTGTCTCACATTTCAATCAAATGGTAGGTGCTGTCATCTGAACCAATACCTAATTATGGAATTCCTCCTCCTATGGTCTCCTATTTAATTACGAATTTATTTAATTTGTATGAAATAGAAAAATGAAACACTAAGCTGTACCTAGCCTACTTCTGCTGTTGGCCATTGGGCTAATCATACCCTATTCAGATTAGCAAAGTCAGCCTTCAACGACTAACAATATGAAAATATTCTTGGTTTTGTTGGTTTTACAAAGCATAATGGAAGAAATCTCTGCTCAACAGTTGCACATCCTTACCTTTCTGTTTCTCCTGCTTTGTTCAACTTAATTCTAATAATTCTCCTTAATATCTTGGGAATGATTAGACATTTGTATGTTCTCTGGATTTATTTACTTTTTTTACTCTGAAGATGTGTTTCAAAATAAGTAGTTGTACCTAAAAAATATAGGAGACATGTTTAAACAGTAGCAAGTCTCACACTTCATATACACTACAAAGAAAACCACAAGATAATAGACATATCCAGTTTTAAATATAAAATATGTATGTTTATATACATGTAATATTGACATGTGGGAATCAGATACGAGACTTTCATAACATTGAGGTGATACATAGAAACCTTGAAGACGCCATGGATATTATTTTCCCATTTGTAAGCATGCATTTTTGTGTATAGCCCACACAGAACTTTGAAAGTCACCTTTGAAAATGTTCTTATACAGTGAATCCACAATACACTCTAGCCAAGAGGACAAATGTAACTTCTACTGCAGTCGTTCTGCTGTATAGCTTGTCTCAAGAAGGAGCACTTCAACTTGTTAGAGAAAGACTGAATTTTCTGTCTTGAGTCATAGTTCTGAAAAAGGAAAGAGGAGAATTTACAGCCCATAGGAATAATCATCATTGTTAGTGTTTGTTAATAGAAACTATATCACATATGGTAAATTGAAATGTCAATTTATTTGCTCAGGTTAGCTTTTATCATTAGTACATTAACCCTTACAGCTGAATAATGTGGCATCCTCTGCTTGAATGTTTTCTAATTATCAGGGTAGTCAAGCTATACTCTAGAAAGTGAACACAGTTCATGACTTAATTCACGTGACCTACAGCCAATCATTTTTCACAGTGTGAATTGTTGCTAGTTAATACAGATGTACTAACATTTGGCCAGACAAAGGCATTTCAAAGATCTGTTCAGCCTTTAAGTAAGGAATAGTCTTGCTATAGATTACTTTGAACAGTTTTGTCAGCCATAAAACACATCCCATTTGCTCGTCAGAGCTTCTAAAGAAGTATGTATAGCCACTGTGGTCTTCAGACCAGGGCAGGTACACACAATCCAATTTCTTTCAAAGTCATCATCTGCTTAGCTTTCAACAAAAGGTGTTTTATGACATCTGGGATAATTTTGCCCATACACCGTTAGGGAGTATTCACACGATCCTTTCTGCTGGATACTCTGTATGACAGAAAACAAAAAGGTTATCAGTGATAGCATACTAATATGCAGCCAAGAAAATGCTGAACTAAGGTTTATTACTATCTTAGCAGTTTCTTAAACTGATACATTGCTCTGCCACTTAGTGTATGTGGTAAGACTACAGTAAACTTGGCTGAGGGTATTTGCATCTTATTAAGTACTGTTTCATTTCATGATATTACTGAAGGAAACAAATGTTAAAGGCAAAGTCACAGCTAAATCTGAAGCTTTGATGGTTTAATGAGGTATAAAACAGGCTCACATTAGCATCTGCAAGTTTGAATTGAATTCTCAACTTCAACTCTGTTTAGGAAATCTTTAGTTTGATGTTTGTCTTTTCAAGCAAAACTTTTCTTGAAGCTGAATATTACAGCTAAGCTGGTTTGACAGCTTGCCACCAAAAGTGGGAGGTCCTTCTTGTTTCCCCACTCTTTTCTTTCCCAGCTTCATATTTCTCATCTCTTTATACATGCTGCGGTCAGACCCAGGCTGAGCCAATACAACTTGTTAAATCACCAGTAAAACATCTTTCAGTCACCAACACGACTTTGTTCTGCAGGGTCACTGCCAGAGCCTACATACAATGAGAGGCACAGTCAAGAGGGGGATAAAACCATAAAATTGTCCAAAGCCACAATGCAACATTCTTCTCATTACCTACTGTACCATAAATAAATAAATAAATAAATAAATAAAAATCTACACATATTTTTGCATGTGTGTGTTTGTAACCAGGAATATGAAACTGTTAATTATGGCCTAGACCCCCAAAACGATCCTTTAGCTAGATTAAGTTGCAGTTTCACATCCTATGTCTTTTTTGAGGGGCAAGTTGGGTTTAGAAGAGCTGCATTTGGAAATACTGCCACCAAGAAGAGTGATCATGGCATTTTGCCCTCGCAGGGTCCCTCAAAACAAGTATGTTAGTTTGAGATGTGACATGGAACAGACTAAGATTTTATACCCGGAAAATTAAGGTACACATTCTCATCAGTTCAGTATATACCATGCCTCCTTACTGGTCTGAAGACACAACATTTACTTCATAGATGCATGCACTGAAGGAGACAAAGCAACACAGTGAGATTAAGCAGTAAGCAGCTAGCTCTCTGTTAGTGAATGGGTCATGCTTTCATAGTTACACAGCAGTGTTATTTTAAATATCCACAGCAACCATTTTAGCCTCTGGGTAGTCTTTCAAATTACTTATGGAATTTTACATTTTCAAACCTTTTTAGAGTGAAAACTAACAGGCAGATGAAATGGCTAGAGGAGAAGAGCAGAAAAGCACCATCTTTAAACTTCCTATAAAAGCTCTGTATGAGACAGAGAAACTGATCTTGGAGAGAGTTGCCAGTGTTCGATTCCCACAATCTCACAAAAGCTTACTGGTATGAAGGACAGACCTTTTCAACACATCAGCACACAAGCACATGCATTTTGTGTGTGCTCCCCGGGCGCTTCCAAACAGATTTATTTATAGCAGACAAACCCTTTAAACTGTTGCTATAAGTACAATTTCAATCTGCTATGAGGTGATTCCGATTTTTGAGAGAAGGATCCAATCTGACAACTGAAGTAGTCATTTTAGGAACATCCTGATCCTATCAGCCAGCTTTGCTCATGAATAAATACCAGGCAGCCAGATTCTTTTCTTCCTTGTCCCACCTTCTAAAAACAAAAGCAGCCTCGGGCTATTAAGCCTTCCCCCATCACCCGTTAATCCCCAGGAAACAGCTTCTTTCTCAACTGTTTTTGCTTAACTGATGCAACATTTAACACCTCAGATGAATCAACACTGGGCTACTAGTCAGCTTCTGACTTCACTGCCGTTTCAGTTCCACAACACTAAATTAGGATTTCAGGATTCAGATGACTAGCATTTTGGGAGGCCACTTTAGAACCCACACTCGCCTCTGATACTTTCTTTGCTCTTCTTCCTTTGAATCTGTAGATTCAGGTAAATGCACAGGTACTGCATAGACTGTTCTGGTAACTCATGACATCTACACTGTGTAAAATGTTCTATAAGCACAAAAGTTCTTCAATCAAGTTTTTTAAGTTCAAGGATTCATATTTACAGTTATTCCTTATACGACCTTAGCATCAAAATAAAATATTCAATTATATATTCACTGAAGAGAAGCAGTTCCAGTGAACACAGAAACAGTTCTCTTTCTTATCTGAGCTTAACAAGAAACTCTGGATGACAGAAATGGGAGAACAGGAGAATCAAGGAGAATCCCTAGGAATCCTTTCTTCGGTGTGCATTTATTTTTTAATATATTATATATATTTGTACATACACACTTTTTCAAGCAATTATTCAAAAGGATGGATATGGATGGAAAACCCTCATTTTTGTAGGAGTTCAATTTATTTCTCTGTATACTTCACCTCCCCAAGCCATCTCATTGAGCTGAGTGGCCTCTATGTATAATAGCAATAGCATTAGTCAGCAAGATCTTGTCTTTAGCTTTTAAAGCTTATAACCAGCAAAGGAAATGACCCAGAGAACAGAAAAGGAAGTCTCTACTTCCCTTGTTTCTATTCCACCAACTCCTCACTGTCTCTACCAGGAAGAATGTGTCGTCTTTCAAGCAACTACTCTAGAGATGTCTTTTTATTTCAGCTTTGCCCCTAACCTCGTCCAGCATCCTCATGGAAGGAGGCTATGGGTTACGTTTGTTTAGCAGCCTCTAGCGGCTCACCACAGAAGTTACCAAAGGCTGTATCTTCACATGCAGCAGCCACAGCGTATTTCTGCTCATACATTGCATGGTGCTTTGCCAGGATGCTCTCAACTACATTATGGCCTATGAACAAGGATGAAGAAAGAAAATAAAAGGATAAGCCAATGCCACCGAGCTGTGTGCCACAGGAGTTAATCTTTCTCTGAAACATTCACATTTTGGTAACAACATAAAAGAAATAGATACAACCAAATAAAAGAAACAGCAGTAGCCACAAGGTGCTTGATTTGTCCCAAGTGCACTATGTATTTCTTACAGCAACATTTGTCTTGGACCTTATGCGTTCATTCTTCAAGTTTCAAAAAGAAACAATAGATGCAAGATTTCAAAGGTTTCTCTCACATTCTAAGAAGAAGCTCTTCTAGAGGTTCCTACTCCATCCAGAAATGCAAACCCCTACAATTTGAGACCTTACAGTGTTTCTAGCAAATGCAGCAATTCCTTACTGAAAAACTAATGCACTATGCAAATCCTTGTAGATGTTCTCCCATTTTTAAGAGAAAAGCAAAGAATTAGAGATACCAGAATCACAAATCTAGCTGGGCTACCTTTTGACTCTTGAGCAGACACTAGGTGAAAAGAAGGAGGTTTAAGGTGTGTCCTGAAGATCAAAATCAAGCATGTTTACTAGGAATGATAAGCCTCAGTTGCCTACACCTAATTTCATGCTATTAGGAGTTAATTGGTAATATTTTGTTGTTCTTTTTTTTTTAAGTGAAAGTGTATCTGATCTGTATTATGGTGAACAACAAAGTGTTGAACAACATCCTGAATAGAATGAAATTATAAGCATAGTTTCTGACTTCTCAGCTACCTACATTAAAATAGTGCATATATTCCAGGCTACTCCCACAGGGACAACTCAGTTTACCTTTGAGCTTCATAAAGCAAAACTGCATCTAAGAACTTATCTGTACTTTTCTTCCTGTCTTATTTCTGGGTATCCATATAGTTATAGTTGATGACATGGTAATCAAAGACAAGGCCATTTGATAAGAAGGCACTGCTATTCCCTGCATTGATAACAGCTCTCTCCAAGCTTGAATATTCTTCATCTCGGCTAATCCCCAGGTTTTAATGAAGCTGTACAGGAAAAAGTTTCCAGTTGATTTCAGATTTTCTGGACAATGCTGGTGAGTACAGAACAGTGAGATTTGCAATGTGAAGTTCTCGTCTATATTGTTTTTTTGAGAAAAATAAGATTGGTGTAATCGTGTGATATTTGGTCCTTTGTAGTAGGTAAGAATCGGTTTAATTTGAACATAGGTATCTTGCTAAAATATTGAGAAGAGCAGAGATTCTTTCTTTAGCTATCTCCAGCTCAACAGAGAATTTCTTCTGAGAATGAAAAATCTTTATTAGAAACCAACAACTGAAATAAAATCTCCTGCAACTAAGATTCCTGCTTAGGATAACAAAATCTTTTTTATCCATAAAAGTTGTACTCATTGGGCAGCAGCAACATGAACTAACCTACAACCCTCCGCTGATCTGGTTCAACTACTAAAGCAATCACAATATTCTGTTTCTGAACAAATAACTGATGCTTGCTGCCAATCTTCTGTGAAAGATGACTGATTAATGGTACACTAACAGTACCACATGAGTTACAAACACATCAAACATGTCAAGTTTGTCAGGAATGTACTCATTGGAAAATGCTTAGATGTAACACACCCAGATATTAAGAACATTTCCTTAGTGAAGTAAGCATATGAAAGAAGTGGGAACAAGAAGGAATGGACATATACCACCTTAGAAATGCTATTTATTTATAATGCTAGAATTCAGGGACACTGAAAATACTTCTTTTCCATAATGCTATCCAGGGCTGCAGCTTTCCTCATCACCTTGTAATGAGGAAGTAGCTACATAGTTTGATCAAAGAGAGAGCAGCTCCACAATCCAGAGGCAAAGCCTCAGGCTAGACCTTCATAGGAGAGCAAATGCTGATCATCAGAGTGGACCAAAAGGATTTGCGGCAAAACAGATACTAGGATTTTACCTAGCATATTCCATGATCTTTGCTCTGTTTAAGAACTGTGAATCATAGCAGCTATATAACATAGTTGATGCTGTGTGATGCATCAGCAGGCAACCTCAGGTAGTGGAAGTGAGGACTGAGATGTCCAGATTTCCTTTATTATCTCCACCTCTGTAGTCAGAGTTCACTAGCCAAAACTTGTTGGAACTGATTTTTAGGTTCTGATGGTCAGCCTCCTCTAAGTTAAGGTGTCTGTGTATTAGCTCTTCTTTATTAGGTTTGTGTTGCCCTCCATTGTATTTCTGATACCTTGTCATATTTGGAATACAGAATACTTTTATTCTACTGAATATCAAGTATTATTACATGAGATAATATCTTACTAGCCTCTACTCCTGTGCTACTGTTTCTTCACAACTGGATGAACTTACCTTTCCCTTGCTTTTCATTTCTACAGTCCAGACACAGAAGTTTCACAAAGTAATCACAAGGCATAAGCAAGATCTGCTACACTGAAGCACTGTCACTCCTGAAATGTAAGTCAGCTGCATGAAGGAAGGGAACCAGTAACAGACATCTTACAATAGAAAGCACAGAGCACATCTGGTGTGGCTGAAATCACAGGGGAAAATTTTGGTAGGAAATGTAATTATCGTACTGGAATTTGGCAGCAACACCTGGATTGACATTCTTCCTTCATAGCAAATCAGGGATTTT